TCCAGACAAGTACCTATGCTAGCATTTCTCTCAAGGCCTAATTGAATAGTCAGGACATAAAAGGCAAATGGCACTGAGGTAGAAGTGATTGTGAGCTAAAATCATCTGTAGAAGTTTTCCAGAGTAGAGGGGAGATATTTGTGTTAACAGGAGATAAGATGGAATCTCTTAAATGTTTTTACTCTCTTTTTTCATTGAAAATATTTTCAAGAAATTACTTAAAACCTGAGAATTTTAGCCAAAAATTTCCTTTCCTCATTAGTAGATCTGTATCAGTGGTTCTCAATTGGAGGTAATGTTGTGTTTTCCCCACCCTCAACTCTGGGGACATTTGGCAGTGCTGTAGGCATTTGGTGGGTATAGGCAGAGAGGTTCACAGGACTCTCCCTGCCACCCCCATACACACACAACAAAGCCTCAAATGTCAGTAGTGCTGGTTTGAAAAACCCTTTTTAGGTACACTTGAGGGACAGTGAAAGGATAGTGAGTCTTAACCAGTTAACTGCCATGGGTCCAAAACAGAAACCATCTCCACACTCCCCGATATTTTGAATTTAATTGCGTCTATAGATGCTTATGGTGTACAAAGGGTTAACCACCTGCCTGCCACTAGTTTTATGTGACTAATGCCTCCAGGAGTTATGGGGCTGGGCTGGAATTAATGAGAAGCATTAAAGTGGTATATGATTAATTATTCAGTCCTGAGCTTAGTTTAGTTGAAATCAGTCTAAACCAGGGATATAATGAAGGATTATGGACAAAAGAGAACTACGGTATATGGGAATAAAAAGACATATTTTTGCATTTGACCCAGGTTTGTGTCATATCCGATATTTGTATCTTAAGCATTAACTGTCTCATGTTATCTCTGGGCTCTATGGAAAGAGGAATTGATAATTAGAGAGTTCTGGATTTCATGTTCAGGTTCTAGCTGTGTGTTTTTGGACAATTTACTTAATCTCTCTGAGTTACAGTTTACTCTGTAAAAAAGAATAATAAACGCTCTGTAAAGAAGATAACAAAATAAAGGAGATAAAAGTTGATTTCTATTTGTGTGTAGAGGGCATATTTTGTTAATTGTGAGGATTAAAGGAGCATTGCATCTTTAGTACTGAGAATGTTAAGCTTACACATACAGAGTAGGGCAAAAGTAGGTTTACAGTTGTGAGTACAGGAAACAGTTTATTCTTGTATAATTATTAATTAAGTAATTATTGTGTTATTTTCCATATGAACAATTGTAAACCTACCTTTGGCCCACCCTGTAGTTAGCACTCAGTACATGTTAGCTATTATGATTATTAACCCTTATAATAGTTCTGCAAGGTAAGAAATGGTATACCCTCTGCATGAATCTAGAAACTGAGGTACAAGGGCATAACTTGTACAGGACCACGCAGTAAGTAGTAGAACTAGGATTCAAATCCATGCCTTTATCTCCAAATTTATATGCTTATCATATTGCCTTGATAAATTAGTGGAGAGAGCAAAGAAAATTAGAAGAAAAAAATACTTTTTTAAAGAATGACTTTGCCCATTCCCCATATTAAAATTTCCCTTTTTGCCTAGGTTTTTAATTCTCTAGATGTCTCATGGAATGCATGTCAAAATTTCTATGTGAGATGAATTTTGATTCTAAAATAACCATTGCCTTTAGATTTGTAAAGGGATATGCACGTAATTTCATATATTATAGTTTTTTTGAAAATTTCATTTAAAATAAATAAGAAAAGCTCCTCCCAAGGTTTAAGAATTTCCCATTTCAAATTTTTATTCTAGAGCAGTGATGGCGAACCTTTTGAGCTCGACGTGTCAGCATTTTGAAAAACCCTAACTTAACTCTGGTGCCGTGTCACATATAGAAATTTTTTGATATTTGCAACCATAGTAAAACAAAGACTTATGTTTTTGATATTTATTTTATATATTTAAATGCCATTTAACAAAGAAAAATCAACCAAAATAATGAGTTCGCGTGTCACCTCTGACACGCGTGTCATAGGTTCGCCATCACTGTTCTAGAGGCTTTGGTTTTGTTTCTGACACTTCCTGGAAGAATTCTATGCTCATGACCAGCACCACTGGATTTTTTCCTTCATGGTACTGTCATTTTTATCTGTTGTTCCACTGGTGCCAATTTACTAGTCTACTGAAATTGAATGGGATGTTTTCATAACCAGAGTTTAATATACTTACTATGCCTTTCAGAATAAATGACTTAACAACTTCCCCTTTCCGCCGCTCTGAGGTTCCAGAAGAATCAGTTGAGTAGGTGGATTAATTTATTCCTTCCTACTCTAGTATTTTGTGGTATCAATAAAACCATAGATACTAAAGCCAGTTTCAACAACTACCTGCTAAAAGAATAAATCCTTCTTAATAGGATGGCATTTCCATGCCCTGAATCGGTGGAGAAAAATCTGGCAAACAAGGGAAGATTTGTGTAATCCTTTTCTATAAGAAGAATAGTCTTTACAGAGGGTGCACATGGGCAGAATTTTGCTAAACATTGAACTAACTAAGCAAAACTGAGTTTCTTTAAAATTGTAAATGTGTAAAGTAAAAGCCAAGATTTTTGAGCAATCAGCTTTGGATAAACAAACATGAATTGCTTTACTAATTGGGAAAATTTATGCGTAAAACTTTCTTAAAATATAAGCAGTAAGAACATAGTGAACTCTCTTGTTAACTAAATGCTCCATTGTGTATAAGAAAATACTGAGCAAAAGTCCTTCAAGCTTATTTTAATTAGCCCAGAACCTGATTATAAATTCAGTCATCTGTGAACCTTAGAAGGGTTCTGAAATGTAAGGTTCTTGTTTTTCTCTCTATTAAGTAATTTTTAAAAATATCTAAGCCCAGCCAACTCAAAGTTACTGTCAAGAGAAGATAAAGAATACCTCTTTACTTTATAAAATCACTAACTTCTAGAGCAGAATAGACTTTAGCAATCATGTATAGTAACCCTCTTATTTCACAGGACAGAAAATTAAGGCACAGTAAGATTGATTGCTTTGTCCAAGATCGCACTGGTAGGCAGAGCCAGGAATGAAATCCAGGCTTTCTGACCTAGCCCACTTCTCTTCCCACTATTCTGACTTTTTCATAATTTTGAAAAATTGGGACGTTCATTTTTTTATTGTGTAAATACATTTAGCACATAATCGTTAAATTAACAACAAATCTCTTTGACTAGTAAACACATGAACATGAAATGAAAAGTTTACGGTATTCAGCAACGAGTCTAGCTCCCTCTAACTCCTGCCTATCCCAGATCCCCTCCTTCGCGGCAGCCATTTGAAGGAATGAGGCCTTTTAAATAGACTGCTTTGGTCTAATAACATACCCAAGATGGCATTCTTCTTCTTGGATTGCAGTCTGACCTGCCAAGGTTAGATATTGCCCAACAGTGGAAAAACATAAGCTGTGGAATTGGAATATGGAGAGATTTGTGAATTGGATTTGAAAATTACCCAAATCCAAGTTATTTTCAGTAATAGAAGTGTTCTCTTACAGCAGTACTCTATTACTCAGATAATGCCTTTTGTACAAAGAGCCTAAAGTACTTTATAAGAGCCCTTGTGTATCCTCATGACATGTGAAATCCCAGTCTGAGTATTGCACAATTGCATACAACTGCTGTAAAGTCTATAGCACATTGGCCAGAAAGAAAGAATTATGTTGCTGTTTGAATAAATCTCCCTCGTTAGTGGAACCATCAGTGTGGGACACCACATGGAACTGCTTCTCAGCCTCTTCAGCCTACCTCGTTGAAACCTCAGTGCCTGGTCCTGGATGGAGCACATCCAGGCATTTGGCCTGGAGAGTTACTCCCAGAATGAGCAAGCTGGACAAGGAGGTGAAAGGGGCTCCAGGGTGCACCTGCACCTGTGGCCCTGCTGTCACAGGTGAGGTTGTGGAGCAGGAAAAGCAGCAGGGCAGCAGCAGGCTTTCAGAATTGAAGCCTTCAAAGCCGAGGTACCGGGTTGATAGCCACATGCAGTAGGGAGGCGAGGCAACTCCCCATGTGGTGAGAGGTCAGGTTGGAACAAGCTGCAGTCTAGACCCAGGAGGCCACACATTGGCTTTGTCCCTGTTGAAAAGGCAAATCTCCCCCAGGGGAAAGGAAGGAGGGCTGAGATGCACGCGGCTCTCTTTGATACCTGTGTGTGATGGAGCCTCTGACAGCAGTTCCGCCTGGCAGGGGAGAGGACACGGGAAGTTTGTAGGTGGTTGAAAGAGAGAAGAGAGCAGAGCTAGGGAGAGGAAAGGCAAGGTTGGAGGAAGTTGTCTTTTTTTGAGAGAGTTCTTTGACTTCTATACTGTTAGACTCTTGAGATGTGGGTTTCATGTTTTACTCTGTGGCAGTGTTTTGTTTTCAGTGTCCCTGATGCTAACACTCTCCTGGAGTACTTGGTAAAAGTTCAGATTCCTCGTCCTCTGTTTCAGAGATTCTGCCTCCATTGGAAGTAGGGAGAATACTGCCTACTGAATACTGGGGTAGTTTTAATAAGTGCCAGGTGGTTTGGGGGAACACTATCAAATCAGGGCTTGGGCCTTTACTTTCATCAGTTCTAGACGTTCTGCTCTAGATTTGTCCTCCATTGTAAATACAAATATCGAGAGTATCAGGGGCCTTAACTGCAAGTAGCTCATTTATATCAAAATCAGAGCTGTTTTTCAAAAAAGGCATGCATGTTCCTCTTCACTTTCAAACACTGGGATACTACTAATTCATAGTGACTATTAAAACATTAATGCTGTTAATCTTGACAAACAGAAGATATGTTATAATGGTTCTGTCATTATATTTGACTTGGACTAATACTCTGATTTTTGAAAATTATTCCGTATTTAGAGAGTATGGTAATTGGTAAAAACTATGTTTTACAGTTAGAACTTTTATAGTGAGGAACTAGCCATTGTTTCATCATCACAGTCATTTTAACAACTTAAAATGTAAGTTAAAATTTTCAGTGATTGTATTTTTTTCTTTTCAGATAGGAACCAAGGCTTTGGCCTTCTCAGCTCATTGGCTGGAGCAAACCATAGCATTGGATCAGCAGACCCGTGTCACTCAGAGGTAAAGATTTTGCCTTTATCTTTTCTCCTCTTTTACTTTAATTCCTCCTTGTCATTATGAATCTTTACATCATTTATTATTTTTTCCTTTTCATTTAAGAAGTGGCAGAGAATATTAAAAATAGATAAAAGGAGAATCTACAGCAGTCCTCTTGTGCCTGGTACCTGTGAGAGAGGCTGGTTCAGCATCAGAGCAGTGAGCCTTTCAAGATGTTTGCAATCTGGGTGGTTTCATGTGTTCTTGCTAGCGTGCTTTTCAAAAAGTGCGAGGATTTCCTTGAGGCATAAAGTTGCCTCCAGATCTTTAAACATAAAATAAAATTGATGTTTCTTTTTCAGTACTTCCCATGTACAAGGCCCTGTATAAATCTGAGGCAAAGTCCTTGCCCTCAGAGAGCTTAATAGGCTGATTTCAACCCTCTGTCCTCAAGGACTTTGGTCCAAGTTTACCTTGGTCGACATGCTGGAACCAAGGGCACCTTAGGGCCACATTGTGCTTCCAGGCATCTTTTTCATCAGTCTCTGAGCTGTTTATGATATGATCGTGTTCATTTTCACATTTCGAATAAAGCATGGATCTTAAAAAAAAACCACTATGTTTTAATAGTAGCAAAATCATGACACTTTCTAATTTTTTTTTTAAGGAAAATACTCCTAAGTTAGTGAATTTTTAGCCATTTATTTTTTTATGTGATGTTGAGCCTTCTTCATCTCTCCTTGTCTCTAGCCCCTAATATTGCTTCTCTAAAGCCAGCCCATGGGTGGAAGTGTGAGCCTTTTGGATTTAGTTCTGAAGTAGCCTGCTATTAAAGTATTGCTTGTGTGTTGTGTGTGTTCCTCAACAGCAGCCCCGTTTGCCAGCAGCAGATAGGACTGAATCCCTCCTGGATCGTCGGAGTGGTGCAGCTAATACAGCAGATGCTCAGGTCGATAGCATTGTGGGTAAGTTCCTCCTTTGGCTGCTAAGAGACAGCTCTGTGGAATTTGGAATAGCCAATGTATCAGGAAATAAATCATCTGGGGAATATTGACTTTATATATGGGCAAGGGAAGGAAGTTGATAGTGTAACCCCAAGTGAATGTGAGCCTTGAGATGGCTATCAGAAAAAGGAGGAAGAATAAACACATTGCAAATCTGTATCATTTTTCTCTCTGATTCTCTTAGCAAGATCTTGATTCAGATCATGTAGCTAAAACAGACAGGACCAGGTGGTGAAACAGCTTTATATCTCCATATTACACAGTTTTTTTCATAGTATTTAACAGTAGTTAGAGTTGATGGTATCAAGAATAATATCTATACTAATAAAAGGGTAAAATGCTAATTAGGGCGAATGTCCTCTGGAAGACCTTCTGGATGTCCTTCTGGACAAAGCCACAGCGGCTGCGAGGGCTGAGACATGGCTGCGAAGGCCAAGGCGCAGCTGTGAAGGGCCAGCCTCAGGCCAGCAGTGACAGCAGCAGCTGGGTAATGGGGGCGGCACCTTCCCCTGATCCACCAGGTCGCCTCCCACAGAAGGAGCCCAGACTGCGGCTTAGGCCAGGGGCCGAGGCAGAGACAGTTAGGGGCGATCAGGCCATCAGGGGAGCAAGTTAGGGCCGATCAGGCTGTCAGGGGGGCAAGTTAGGGTCAATTAGGCCAGCAAGGGGTGAAGGTAGGAGTGATCAGGCAGAGGCAGTTAGGGGCGATCAGGTAGGCAGGCAGCGGGGTTAGGGGCGATCAGGCAGGCAGGCAGGTGAACGGTTAGGAGCCAGCAGTCCCAGATTGCGAGAGGGATGTCTGACTGCCGGTTTAGGCCCGGTCCCAGCAGTTGGATATCCCCCTAGGGGTCCCAGAGGGTGCAGGCTGGGCTGAGGGAACCCCCGTGCACGAATTTCATGCACTGGGCCTCTAGTAACCTTATAAACCCTTTCACATCCTTTTAAAGTTCTTTTATATATCCTCTTTCTCACCTGGTACAGTGGGGCCTTGACTTACGAGTGTCCCGACTAACGAGTTTTTTGAGATACCAGCTGTCTCTCGGCAGATTTTTTGCATTGAGTTGATAGAGTAATTTGAGTTAACGAGCTCCTTAACGAGCTTGGTCTCGGAACAAATTAAACTCGTAAGTCAAGGCCCCACTGTAATTAAGTTTGGCAGAGAAGTTATTTTATGAGATGATGGTGAGGCCCAGAGCAGTTCAATAATTCACCTAAGGGTATCTAATAAGAAGGTCCTGGAACTGAAACTAGAATCTAGTCTGCTGTCCAAAAGCCAGAAAGCCAAGGAGCTTAGTTGAAATAACTATAAATATTCTTTTGTTAGGGAACTACTATAATCTCTACTTTCTCTTTATGCCACAGTAATAGTTGTTTGCAGGCCTGATCCACTGATGGATGTTAAAATTAATAGATGAAAATTTTAGAAGAAACATGACATTTGCATAGTCTAAAAGCATTTCTGCTAAGTTATTTATTTATTGCAGAGGGGAAATAGTAACTTTATATTAGAAAACTTACAGATACTACTTCAAGTGATGAAGATGACCTCACCAGTAGTAATAAGATATACTGACATCATCTCCCCATGGTCTGTACCAAACGGGCACTCACACTTGTGCTGTTTATGCCAAAGGTGCATAATCTCAATCTAATAATAAGAAAACATTAGACAAACCCAAATTGAGGAACATTATACAAAATAACTGACCAGGACTCTTTAAAAGTCATAAAAGACAAGGAAAGACTCAGGAACTGTCAGAAATTGGAGAAGTCTAAGGAGATTTGACAGCTCAATTTTGTGTAGGACCCTGGAACAGAGAAAAAAGGCTTTTAGTGGAAAAGCTGACGAAATTTGAATGAAGTCTGTGGTTTAGTTAATAGCACTACCCCATTATTAACTTCTTGACATTTATAATTATAACGTGGTTATATAAGATGTTAACATTGAGGGAAGGTGGGTGAAGGGCATATACTATTTTTGCAACTTAAAAAATCCTCACCCAAGCCCTAGCTGGTTTGGCTCAGTGGGTAGAGTGTCAGCTTGTGGATCGAAGGGTCCTGGGTTTGATTCCGATAAAGGGCACCTACCTTGGTTGCAGGCTCCTCTCTTACAGGAGGCAACCAATCAATGTGTTTTTCTCACATTGATATTTCTCTGTCTTTCTCTCTTCCACTCTCTCTAAAAATCAATGGGAAAAGATCCTTGGGTGAAGATTAAAAAATAAAAATAAAAAATCCTCACCCAAGGAAATATGTTTACTAATTATTAGAGAGAGGAAGAGAGGGGAGGAAGGAGGAAAGGAACAAGGGAGAGAGAGAAAGAGAAAGAGAGAGAGAGAGAAATACTGATGTGAGAGAGAAACATTGATCGGTTGCCTCCTCTATGCGCCCAGACTAGGGATTGAACCTACAAATGTGCTCTGATTGGGAATCACATCCGCAGCCTTTTTGGTGTTCAGGATAATGCTCCAAGCAACTGAGCAACCTGGCTGGGGCTTTGTTACTTTTTTATAAAGCTAAAATTATTTCAAAAAAAATTTTTTTTTAATTTATCTTTATTGTTGAAAGTATTACAAATGTACTCTTTCCCCTTCCCTTTGACCCCCTTTCACCCCACATTTGCCCTCTGCAAGGCCTACTGCATTATTGTCTATGTCCATGGTTATGTATATATGCATATAAGTTCTTTGATTAATTTCTTCCTTTGCCCCCCCCTCCCCTTTCTTCCCTCTGAGATTCATCATTCTGTTCCCTGCTTCCATGTGTTGGATCTCTTTTGTTAGTTTATTTTGTTCATTATATTCCATATATATATATATACACACACACACACACTAATAAAAGACAAACATGCAAATT